GGGGGGATAAAGTGGGATTGATAAACGACTCGCCGCCTTGAGTCAAGCGGGATAATCAATCTATTCATCCATCCATCGCTTAGAAACCGGACAGTCCGCATCGCTTCCAGGCAGTAAATATTTGGGGAGCCTTGTGGAGGGGGGGGAGGGAAATGTCTTCGACTGGGTAAAGCTTGTCTGCTTTAGGGGCTTTCCTCCATCGCAGAAAAAAAGAAAAAAACTGCCGATCGGCTGGGGTTTGGGGCTCGGGGGAGCGGGAGGACCGTGGCGACCTGCATCGGGCATCTCCTTTGCTTTGGGCTGCCGGGACCCGGTTCGTTACTATTTTGCTTTCTCACTCTTCCGAGCCGACGGCAACGAGGGCGCGCCTGTTTTGGCCGCTGTTTACGAAACCTAGACACTGGCGTGAGTCCCGGGCGTTGAGGAATTTGCCTGCCCGGAGTCGTTTGTTTCCCCGCCCCTCCATCTGTTTGCCTTTTCCCCCTGACCTGGGCTCGCCTCCCCCCTCTTTTCCTCTGGAAAGCCCCCGCCGGCTTCTCCTTGGACCGGTTGCTTGCTTATCCCGGCCCCCCCCCCCTTTTTTTTTTCTCCTCTCGCCTTGCCTCGCGGCGCCTGGAAAGGGAGGGCTCCGTATGTGTTTACTTGGAGACAGGTCACGTGCCCGCAAGCGCCCCCCCCTTTTCCCAGGAGGAGGCCCCCGCATCTCCGCCCCCGCCTCGAAGTCAGGACAGCGGAAGTGATTCCCGGAATATGGCCGGATGAGTCATTTGATGCACTTAATGAGGATTCCTCGCTCGCCCAGTCAGGGGTTCTCAACCTTGGCAACTTTAAGACTTGTGGACTTCAACTCCCAGAATTCCTCAGCCAGCTTTGCTGGCTGAGGAATTCTGGGAGTTGAAGTCCACAAGTCTTAAAGTTGCCCAAGGTTGAGAACCCCTGCAAGTTTATACCAAGGTTTGCGCATCACGCCGGGGATCTGGGAAATTGCTACAAGGTTTCCCGTCTCGCGCTTGGAGTAGGAACCGAGCGAGCGATCCATCTGCTGGGCGGGGGTGGATGGATGGAGCAAAAAAGGCTGTACGAATAATTTGAGTTGGTGGCTGTTGTAGTCAAATCTATCGTGTGATCGCATTCTGAATTACTTGGTTGTGCTACATCGGTCAAATTGACGGATCTCTTATTAGCGCCGTATAATTTCTCCGACTGACTGAAGTGAAGGGCGGTGAAAGAAGGGCAAATGTTTTAGTTACTACTCCTTTTCCATCTTTTTCCAGTGTTAAGGACTATAGTGTTACATCTCTTGCCAATAAGGAGGGAAGAAGCTGGTTAATTGTATTCTTAGCCGGGTTACTTAAAATGAGGGGGGAGCATATCAAAACGTGTTTTCCCTCTATTCCAGTGTTTCTCAACCTTGACAATTTTAAGGCATGTGGACTTCAACTCCCAGAATTCCACAGCCAGCAATGCTGGCTGTGGAATTCTGGGAGTTGAAGTCCACATGCCTTAAAATTGTCAAGGTTGAGAAACACTGCTCTATTCATTCAGGTATATTGCTACACTCACCTAGGTTTCAAAGCCAAGATGTACCTCTAAAGATATAGCTAACAATACAGTATATAACAATACACTTTTGTTATTGTACAGAAAATACAGTTGCCCATTCCATGTTGGTGCAAGGGAAAGAGAGTTTTAATCTTCTTTAACTGCAGTCCCACTTGAAGTTGTTGTTCTGAAAAAAGAATTGGCTATTAAAATATCCCTGTTCTTTAGTGGATCATTACCTATCTTGAAGAGCTAAGCAGACTTGAATACGGTTAATGCTTGGATGGGAGACTGTTGACTAGGAGGTAGAAAACAAACAGATCATCCCCCTGAGGTGAGCCAGGCTGCCAGCATCAGACTTGATTTTCTGAAAATCCCTCCAGATCTGGTTGTGCCATTAGGTCTGAGGACCTCAGGGCATTGGCAAATGAGTGAGGTGGCTCCATGGTTATTAACATTTCCTCAGCCATTGTTTCTTTTCTATAGCCTTGTTTTTATAATTTCAGCACTTTCTAATAATTGTTGTTTATACTAATAAAACCAGAAGAAAAAAACCAGAAGAAAGTAGGGACAAATCACTTCTATTTTGTTGGCAAAACACCTCCATATGGATGTGTCTGTAGGCACCAAGAATCAAGTCACACCTGAAAGAGATTTTAACTTTACTTTTTGGCAATGGAATGGCAATTGTGAGGAACTTCCCTGTCCCTGATCCACGTTTATTCCCTGAATAAAAAATGTAACTATGTTTAAAAGTGTCATTTGACTCTTCCTCACTTTGAGCTCCCTGTGACTTTAGACCTTCAACAATAACTTTCTTACAGAGTTGTTCCAAGGATAAAATTTGAATTCTCCCCCCCCCTCAGAGTTTACTTTTGAGCATTTTGAGAAAAGATAATACAATTACAATAATAAGTACAGTACATCATTTTGATTAGATATGCATTAGCTAAACATGATTCATCGGAGATTTTTTTTAATATAGTTTGCTTGTTTGTTTATTATTTTCACTCACGTCATAGCAATGATGATAGGTGTTGTACAAGAATTAAAATCAGGCAATAAACAAGTTGCTTTATGTATTACTGCCCTTAATAATTTTTGCAATTTTGTGAAATTGCAAAGTACCTACATAAAATCAAATTACTGACATGGGATGGGAGCCAGCGGCATTTCAACTAAATTTCATAGTCGTTGTTTGCTTTGACATTCATGAGTACAGGCAGTAGCTCCTTTGCGCCTGTGTTTACACATTATATTAAGCTATTCTGCCTTGGCACAAAATAATGACTGCGTGGTTTGGCTCTATCAGGATGACAAGAGCTTGTATTTTTATTCCCATCTCATGTCATATAGGGGAGATCTTCATTTTCTAATTGGACAATTTTTTCACTCTCTTTTTTAGACATTTCACGATGATCTATCTATGCATTTTGGCCCTAAGTTTCGGGGCCTCCTTTGCTGCTCCAGGTTTAGATCCTGCTTTAAATGATCACTGGCTGAGCTGGAAATCATGGCACAGCAAGAAGTATCATGAGGTGAGTTTTTCTTGGGACTCAAAGAGCACGATTGCTTTAGTAATTGACAAGGTATAAAACATGCCTTTCTTGCAAAAAGAGTCATGCGTTAGAAATAGTTAATTAGGCATCTTTACAAAGACATTTTTTTAAAATATGGTAATTTGGTGTGTTGGCTAAATTATCAAAATGTGGTTTGGGACAATGGTAGTTTTGAACCAAAGTTTCTGCAATAATTTAAATTGATAAATGAACTGGACTCCCTTTTGGAAATAGAATAGAATATTAAAGATATAAAAGAGCAGCAGCTTGACTTGATGTAATTTCCAAGTTAAATCCCAACAATAAAATTCTGCTTGTTTTGTTCCTCGTTCATAGATGGAAGAAGGCTGGAGAAGGATGATCTGGGAAAAGAATCTGAAAATGATTGAAATGCACAACCTGGACCACAGTCTAGGCAAACACAGTTACAGACTAGGAATGAATCATTTTGGAGACATGGTATGGATGGCCAAAATTGCCAGGTTGTTTTTCTTGAGCAATTGCTTGCATGTTACACTGATGAATCTTCTCTTTCTTCAGACTAATGAAGAATTTAGGCAAGTGATGAATGGCTTTAAACAATCTCGATCTCAAAGGAAATATAAAGGATCACTATTTCTTGAGCCAAACTTCCTGGAGGCTCCAAAATCGGTTGACTGGAGGGAGAAGGGTTACGTAACACCAGTAAAGGATCAGGTATGTGCCTTCCTTATTTTAATTGCCCTAAGGCAATTAGTGTAAAATTTATAGCCCTCGTAGATATTATTCCGAACATAGTTTTAGAGCTAGAAAAATTGGGAGAAAAAAATGGAAATGAGGAATTGGACCAGTTCTACAAGAAAATGTATAGCAATTGGGAGTAGATTATGATAAAGAGGAGACAAGACAGAGGTATATAATGCATAATGTAGGCAACTTGGACAGAGAAATCTTTTTTCCTTTTCTCACATTGTGATATGATACAAAGAACAATACAGAGTTCTGTGGAATTCCTTATGGTAATGTCCACCAGTGTAAACAATTTTAAAAATAGACTGGTCAAATGTATGGAAATTCAGGCTGTCAGTGACTTTTAGTCATGATAGCTGTATAATAAATACCTCCTGAAACATAGGTATCTAAAATGCAAACTGCTAGAGTGCAACAGTGGAAGAGACCTATCACAGTCCTACCCAAGGGTCTTCAAACTTGGCAACTTGAAGACTTGTGGACTTCAACTCCCAGAATTCCTCAGCCAGCCTGGCTGGCTGAGGAATTCTGGGAGTTGAAGTCCACAAGTCTTCAAGTTGCCAAGTTTGAAGACCCCTGGTCCTACCTATGTTTACAGGCTTCACAAAGTCATCTAGAATAGCACAATGAAGACAAAAGAGGTTCATTTAGACAGATCATCACTCTGAGCCAGCCGAAGCTGAGCCAAATGCTTTTCCGCAGTGCTAGTTAAAAATCCACGTGCCAAGAACCTAAAGTAGTATGTACTTTGCAAGGATTTTAACATTCCATGACTTGTAGCATGCATTTTTGAAATAAGAATTATTAAAGTGCTTGTTCGTTCAGTCTTTCCTCTGAGGATGCAAAGAACAGTTGTGTTGTTTTTTTCTCGTGTACTGCTCTGTAGTCTTATTCAGCCAGGAAATGAAAACATTGTAGAAAAACTGCTAGGTAATTTGCTGAATATGCACTTTTATAATTCCGTTATTTACAAAGCCGACACTGTTCTTTGTGTAGATTCTGTGATCAAAGTTAAAGGCTGGAGTCACACAAAACTCTTAATATAAGGTTAATTACCCAATTCCTGGCTAGGCACAATGCATTGAAACATAAGCTGCTGCTGGCTGGATTTCTAATATACTAAGCCATAAATAAGCTCAGTATGCGGTGTAAATCCGCCATTATAGAAAATAGGAGATGGGAGTCCAAAACGTTTGAATAGCAAGAGATTTAATTATTGCGTGCAATAAAGATTACTTGATAAGCAAAAATAACGGAAGCAACATTGGGAGATGGGAGCAGTTGTAGAGACAAGGCGAAGCACAAACTGAACTGAGAGAACAAAAAGTAGCAGACAATATTTTTCTACTGTTTGTTAAAGTAACAAGTTAGAATACAATACATCACTTTTTTTAAAAAAAAAAAAATGCACGTTCCATTTCACCACAGGGTCAGTGTGGATCTTGCTGGGCATTCAGTGCAACTGGTGCTCTTGAAGGACAGCACTTCCGCAAAACTGGCAAGCTGGTTTCTTTGAGTGAACAAAATCTGATTGACTGTTCTGGGCCGGAAGGAAACCAGGGCTGTAATGGAGGACTTATGGACCAGGCTTTCCAGTACATCAAGGATAACAATGGCATTGACTCAGAGGAATCATATCCATACATAGGAAAGGTAAAAAGTCACCTTTGAATCAAGTTATGTCTCTTTGTTTTGGTCACTGACCAGCAAAACAAAGCTTTCAAAACCAGGTTTATATCTTTTCATTTTGATTTGTGAACTCCACTTGGTGTTTTTTTTTTAGTCACATTCATTTGTCAGATTTATTTGATATGAGAATATAATTCCCGCACTAATGACAAATGATCCTTTCATTCAAGGGAGGCTTCTTAATTATTGTCCCCTCCTTATGAGGACAGTACTCCCCCAGATAGTCCCACCTTAAGCATGAAAACCGTCTGGGTGACTTTGGGCCAGACTCCCAGACCAATTCACCTTGCAGTATTGTTGTCGTGAGGAAAATAGAAGAAGGAGTTGCCACTTTAAGTTACTTATAAAGTAATAAAGACAGGATTTTTTAAAAAATCTAAAATACATAAGAGTTTTACAGAATGTTTAAATCAGGGGTGTCAAACTCAATTTCACTGAGGGCCGCATCAGCATTGCGGTTGCCCTTGGGCCAGGTGGGTGTGGCCAGAGTGGGTGCAGCCTACTGGGTGGGTGTGGATGGAGTGGGTGTGGCCTACTGGGTGGACGTGGCCAGTTCTACATCATTCCCGTCAAGGGTGCCTGTGGGGGCCTGGGCAGGAGTGGGACAGATCTGAGGGTCTCTGGCAGAAGGGGGTGGAACCGGGGCAAATGCCAAGGCATGGTCCATCGGGGCAAGTGCCAAGATGGCCACCACAAAATTGTACATTGGCTCCCGGCTGGTCTGGGCCAGGGCCAAGGCAGCGGGGGCCGTTCCCTCACTGTTTCCAGGATGGCTTTGTGGGCCACATGAAACCACTTTGCGGGCCGCATCTGGCCCCCGGGCCTTGTGTTTGACATGTCTGGTTTAAATTATCAAATGAAGACTTTTTTTTAAAGATATGTGTAATGAGTATCCGAATCTTAGAGACTGCTAAACTCTTTCCCACAATTTCTTAATGGGTTTACAAATGACATCACATAACTTTGTTGCTAGAACCCGTTGGTTCTCTTTAGTCATCCACACAAAGGCAGATTGGAAACAATTATCATATCGGAACGACAGAAATGGTTCATAACTCCAGTAAAAATCCCTTTAGCTTGGACATAGAACTTGTTTTTCTGCTTTGTTTTGCAAGCAGGACATTTGGTAAATTGGATTGTTCCAGGAAGTTTATGTTGTGATATAATCGCTTCATCTTACTTATGCAAACAAAATAACTACTGCAAAATCTTTCCTGCTATTTCAAATTTACAATGGAACAGGTCTATATTTATAGATGAGCTAATTTATATGTATATTTCTTGTAGTCTTTTCTTAGTTTTACTGCATTTTGTATTTACGTTGCATGCAGTATGAAAATGACCAGAAAGAAATGAGACTCCATAGCAAAGGATATTTATAGCTGCAGATGAAGTAAGATAGTATTTCTACCTTGTTTTAGGGCTCATTGCCTTTTCTTATTTACGCAGTCCAGAAATTAGTAGCTTCAGATGGCTTAATCATGGGCAACCAAAAGACATGGCATGCCCTAAAGCAAGCCATATTCAGCCATAATTGCTATCAGTCCTCCAGTTTCTATCTCAGCTACCATTGCACCTTTCTGTTCTTTACATGTTAAAAAAAAATGGCTGTCCAAATTGGAATCCTTGCCTTCAGGGTAAGAAAAGCCAGAATCTTCCTTACCCTTTTGAATCCTTGATTCACTCCCTCACAACCATTCATGTGGAGAGGGAAAAAAACCCAGCTCATCTTTACAATTGTTCCGTGTTGAGCCAAAAGCAAAAGTTGATCCTTGGTTTAACTTTCAATCTGGATGCTATTTGCCGGCCTTGATTTTGTGGATCAGACCCTGGATCATAGTTAATGTGTGGACCTTGATTACAGCTTAGGCTTTGGCCTACATTCGATTGCTATATGACTTTGGATATTCAAATATTTCCTGTGGGCAATTCAGAAATGAAGTAAATATACATTTTTCTTCTGAATGAGCTGTGTGTAAAACATTTGATTTTAAACTGTTTCAAATTTAAAATATCTTTTTTACATTTGAAAAAAACTAAATCAATCTGATTCAAGCAGTTCCTTTTGAGTGTGAAATAATTGCTTTACACACAAAATGGGCATTTGTAGTATAAATTTTGCTTCAGATTGTTTGATATACCCCTAATCTATTGCATTCCTACCTTCTGTGGGCGAAATAGCTTGAAAAATTGCAGTGTTTGTTAGGTTCCCTACAAAAAAAATTTTCTGGGTGTATAAAATAGACATTTTGTGCCACATTTGTTTTGTTTGTTTTATAGCAGAACTAGCTAACACTTTGAAAAATGGAGCTTAGCTCTTAACCGCTGCACTGATTCTTTTTTTTTTTTTAAGGATGATGAAGATTGCTTGTATAAGCCTGAGTACAACTCTGCTAATGATACTGGCTTTGTGGACATCCCTGAAGGACGGGAAAGAGCTTTGATGAAGGCAGTGGCTGCAGTTGGACCTATCTCTGTGGCTATTGATGCAAGCCACACCTCTTTCCAGTTCTATGAATCTGGTGAGGATTTATGAAAACAAAGGCTTTTGAATGAATCTATTAATCTACTGCCGTCAAGATGCACTGGATGAAATTCCCATCCCCTCAACCATCATTATAACCTATACCTGGAATTATTAGGGTTGTGGTCCTACGTATCAGGAGGGCACAGGGTGGGGAAACTATAGAATAGAGTATTGGTGGTGTGCATGAAATAGGAAATAACTTGAAAAGGTTCCAGAGTGCTTTAATAGCCCCCAATTCAATTTATATGTGAGCAGTATTTATTCACACATCCATCCATGCATATCTATGCATACCTGCCTATCTCAATTCAGGCAAGGATTATCTAAAATGAGCTGTTCTTTATAGAGTAGAGCTCATGCACAGCTATACAAGAGTATTGTGTACCCATGTATTGTCATAGTTGTAATTACTGTGAATTGCTAATTGTGTTAGAAGTAGTACCAGCATATCACTGAGTTCAGGACATTTCCTGTTTGTTTTTTTCTTAATGAAAAAGCATCATCATCACCTCTTAATTTGTTTAACAGTGCCTACTGAGGAATCCATTCAACTTGATTTAGATTTCTTACTGTTATTTGTGCCTGATGTTGATTCCATTACTCTATGTTCTCCAGGATTGAGGAAGGATATATTGGGTTGAGAAACCACCAAAGCTTTTCAGTAGACAAAAGCAATCAGGAAAGGTCCTCTTCTGCCATGCAAAGAATGGGAAGATGGACCACTATATCTCTTGATCTTCTCCAAAATCCAGAAAGAGCTAACAGAGACTTATTCAAAAAGATCTGCATATGTTAGAAGAGTCTTGATTGCAGACGATCCGAAGCTTGCTTAATTTTGTGCTGAACTTTTTACAAGATCTATTTTGTGGTGGTTCTGCCTTCAACAAATCTACCTAAAAATAAGCCCCCCCTATACTTTTTTTTTTTTTGCAAGTTGGTGGAAGGAGATTGTATTTTGTGAGATGGTATATGGATTTTGAAATTTTGTTCCTGTTTCTTATTCTGGCACTACTTAGTTTGGGCATTATTTGTTATTTTCAGCAAAAGTTGGATACCATATAAATTGGGAAAAGCATAACTCATTAGAAAAAACTTGTCTAAAGCTCTAAATCTGCTAGCCTTTATTATCAAATATATTGTTTGATGATTGGACTATAAGATAGTCTGCCAAGAAACATACCTTATCAGGTATATATAAAACCTTGGTCCAAACACCTCATGGGAATAGATATGTCAAGCTAAACCAAAATATAAGACCCCTAATGGCTTAGTATTAATACAATTTCTTGAGAAGTTATTGATTTTTGGAAGCTAATCAACTGTTCTAACTCTAGGTGTTTACTATGAACCACAGTGCAATAGTGAAGAATTGGATCATGGTGTTCTTGTTGTTGGTTATGGACATGAAGGTACAGATGATGATAACAAGAAGAGGTATTGGATAGTCAAAAACAGGTATGCTTAAAATATTTAGGAGTTTGTTTCACAAATTTCCTCTGCATTCTTGCTTTCAAATGCAGGGGACTAACAATGAGGCATGTGAGCTGTTAGACACAGGTAGTCCTCAGTTAACTAATCAGGAACTCTATTGCTAAGTGACATGGCCATAAAATGGGGGGGGGGGAACTCACATGTCCACATTGACTTAGGGTAGTAGTTGTGGTCATTGAGTGAATTGCATGTGGTAGTTAAGCACAACATAACATAACCATGACTTCCTGCCAGCATCCCAATTGACTTTGCTTGTTGGAAGCCAGCAGTGAAAGTTACTTTGGTGATCATGTGACTATGGAATGCGATGACCATTGTAATTGCATGCAAGTTTCCAAGTACCAAATTATGATCATGTGACCATGAGGAAACTAATGGCCACGGATTTGAGGACTGGCTGTTAAGGTGTCCTCATTCAGTGCCATTGTAACTTCAAAAGGCTGCTGAACAATTGATCACTAAGCAAGGACAACCATTCCAACCAATTGTAGAATCCTGGAAAAGACAAGTCTGAAGATATATTTCAAGTTGGTGCCCTTCAACTCTCGATTACAGGTCCTGCTTGTTACACCTGATGGAAATTGTAGGATCATTCATGTCTTAATGTAAATAGTTGTAAAGTTCTAGTAATTAACAGTATAAAAATAGCATTTTTAAAAAATCTCAATGGGCTAATGACTCCTTTTCAATGTCGATGTCGCACACTAAAATTATAGTTGTTTGTTTTTGTCAACCAAGGCATTTCATAACAATTTCATGTGTAAACTAAATCAATTGATTTGGCATTGGGGTGAATGCACTCAGCTTGCGAACTGCATTCCTTTTTTTCTTTTGTTTTGTTATCTTGTTTTTAAAAATCTTAAAATCCATAAAGCAGTGTCGTATGGTGGTTATCGTGCTGAACTGGCACTGGGGAAACCTGGGTTTTCAATCCATGGGAATGTTATGTGTTCTTCCTTGCACTGCTGAAGGAGAGGCACAAGATACACGTGTTAGCAAAACAAATGAAAAGAGAGTGAGTGTATAGATTGGTCAGGAAATATTACTATCCTCCAAAAGGGTGGCATGTTGGATGTATAGGTTATCATACTACATCATAACTTTGTATGTTACGTGCACATACTATATTCTAAAAAGACTCTTGGCAGAGTGGAAAGATTCCTAACACACTCTTATATTGTTCTTTTCAGCTGGAGTGAAAAATGGGGAGACCAAGGCTACATACACATGGCTAAAGACCGAAGCAATAATTGTGGAATAGCTTCAGCAGCTAGCTACCCCATGGTATAATTGTGCAAAGAAAAGTGTCACCTGGGACAACCAGAGCCTCCTTAGATTGACAGAAAGATGAACCACTGGAACAGGTCTCTAGCTTGTTGGTCTGTCTTGGCACATTCTGGCGCCACCGAAGTATTCTGGCATCGAAAGGATTTTGAACTGACAATTGCACATATTTTCTAATGTATTAGATTGTATTGGTTTCTTCTGAGAACTAAGTTGTGATTTAATTTTTTTTTTTACCTTGAAACTCTCTGATGTTTACTTGTTGGCAAGAGAAGCCTTCTTTTTTAAAACTTTAAATGTTGCTTATGAGCCCGAGCTTGTAATATTGATAGCTTGCAGCCAGCTATTTTATTTTTTAAACTGCAACTTGCACAAAGTGTTACAACACCCAGAAATAAATACTGAACATTTCAATATCGTTCTATGACCTTTGAGTTTTATTTGTACATTAAATTTGTTTTTTTTGTTGTTGTTGTTTCATTTTGGGTCAGTTGGGACAGTCATTTTCTGGAGTGGTTAAATTTGCTTATCGGATGTTATTTTCCAAGCAAGACCGTTTCCTGAAAAGGAAACAAAGGAGAGTGTTCCTCCTTTTTCCCTTCTCTCAAAGTAAATTCTCTCTTCTATTTGGCTAATGTTTTATACAACCAGAAATATCCTATTGGGGAAAATGTGAACAAAATACAAGCAGTAATATTTAGTTGTATTGGAGTTTCTTTGCTGCAATGTAGAAAAGCACTTAATTATCATAGAATTGCCTGCCAGTGATATGGGTGATTTAAAAAGTAGATTGGCAGGGACAAAAACAGCTAGTATGGATGTAATTATAATCCACGCTTTGGCATTCCTAAACAGAGAGAGCCAGTTTGGTGTGGTGGTTTAAAACACAGCACCAAGGGCTAGGGCAGGGGTCTTCAAACTTGGCCCTTTTATGACTTGTGGACTTCAACTCCCAGAATTCCTCAGCCAGGCATGCTGGCTGAGGAATTCTGGGAGTTGAAGTCCACAAGTCTTAAAAGGGCCAAGTTTGAAGACCCCTGGGCTAGGGAGTGATTTGGGGCCAGTCATTTTCTCTTAGCCATGGTAAAATCTCTTACAAAATGTTGCCAAAAAAATATTACTAGTCTGTGCATCTAGTCCTCGCAATTGACTTGAAGGATCAAAACAAGAACTAATTCCAATAGCATCAGCTTTTAGGAAGAGTGATGGCTGGGTCCAGGAGTTGAGGGAGGTTTCAAGATTTGACAATGCAACCTTATACATGTCTATTTGGAAGACATTATCAAGTCAAGAAAAGCTTCTCTAAAGGAGATTATGTTGGATAGGCTGCTGGGAGGTGTCCAATATTGGGGAGAAACATATGTTCAACTTTTTAAAAGAGGAAATTGGTATCTCAGTATATATATACATTGTCTAATATATATGTGTGTATGTGTTTGTGTGTATATGTGTGTGTGTGTGTGTGTGTATAATGGGTACACAAAACATTGGAATCCTGAGAAAGTATGAAGAATTGATGTATGAAAATTTAGTAGACATGACTTAAATAATCCTGCAAACTCTTTTTCTGTAGATTTCTTAGATTGACTTAATCCTTGTGACCCTTAAAAGCTTACCTTTGTTTTTGCTAGACATGGCTTGGTAAACAAGGTTTTTCCACTGTCCTTGACTGGTGATAAGTAAGTTGATCATTATGTTCTTGTGAAGTAAGCCAACCTGATCCCTAACTTGTTGACTCAAAAATTGGTCATACTAAACTAAGCAGGACTTCCTTCTGAAAAAAAAAAGCATGCTGGAAAACTGCAGTCTAAATTATGTACAATGCTAAGTTACTGCAAGACAAGACCCAATTTCTCATAATGTTTTTCAAGCAATTCTTTTTACATCGGCAAAACTATCTAAAAAACATCTCCGGTGAATGTCAGTGACAGGAAAGCATATTGTTTTCTGTAAAGATCTGAAGCATCAAAGGTTTGACTACCACAGGAAATGGAACACTTCTAAAGGCTGGCAAGTTTGAAATGGGAGAGGATGAGGTTAAATGTGCTGAGAATGCATTTCAAAATGAAGTATCCTGGCTCTTGCCCCATGTTTTGTTTTCAAACACAATAGCACATGACTCAAATAGGATATCTTGGCACCTTTCCCTTAGTGCTAAACTTCTGCTGGAAGTTAAACAATAATTGGCAGAGAAGTGACCCAAGGACAATCTCTTTACAGGTACATTCATTGATCTGGTCAAGAATTTTTGCTGCTATAATTGCCTCCTCCATGGATATTGGCAGGCTGGTTTAATATTAATGTATCTTATTCAAATCATCTTGCCTGTGACTCTGGGTGGCTAACAACTTTAAAAACAACTTTAAAAATAGCAAATAAAAAAACCTCCCTTTTTTTGACCCTGTAATCCCTTAATTCGGGGTAGAGTCAGGGTGACTGGATAGAACTGAGTGTTTACTGGCTGGATGCCCTTCCTGACATCACACAAAGTCCACAGCAGATATTTTTCCTTTGCACTTTAGGAGATAAATATCTGTCACTACCTAGGGTTGAACTCTCAACCTTCCAAGAGGGAGGCAAGTGTCTACACCAGTGGTTCTCAACCTTTTTAATGCCGTGACCCCAACCGGTCGTAAGTCGAGGACTAAACCGGTCGTAAGTCGACTACCCAACCGGTCGTAAGTTGAGGACTTTCCCTGCCCGGGAGCGCTGCGCATGCACGTTTCCACCCCCTGCGCCGGCCGAGGCATAGCTGGCAAGCGGCAGAGATGGAGCAGGCCGACCACCAGCTGGCCCAGCCCAAGGGAGGTAAGGCACCCGCTGGAAAAGGGGAAAAAAATGGCGGACAAAAAAAATGGCGGACAGCCTTGCTTGGCGACCCCCATGAAATGGTCGATCGACCCCAAGTGGGGTCCCGACCCACAGGTTGAGAACCACTGATCTACACCCATACGCCAGAGTTCTCAACCTTTCTGGCTTTGTGGACTGGTGGGGGAGAGCCGATGGTTCTGTGTGAGTGGTGGGCAAGCATGCACGCAGCTCTACTTGTGTGAGCGGCAGGCACGCTTGCCACACATGCACATGCACTCTCCGACTGCTCACGCAATTGGGGATGCACGTGCCCACCGCTTCAATAGCCCGGTTCCAAATGGCTCATGGCCTAGTAGTGGGACACAGCCCGAGAGTTGGGGACCCCTGCCATAGGCTACCATGCCACTCTTTAAAAACAGCAAATAAATACACATAAAAAGCTTGGGAAAAACAAAAGAGCACACACATATACATGCACAACCACACACACTGACCAGTAGCCTGGGGGTCAAAATTAGGTGTGTATATAACAACACAGAATGGTTAGTATAACCACCCAGAGATGGATCTTAAGGACCTTTTAAAAGGCCAACAGAGTCAGAGTTATCAATATATTAGGGGGCTGCTGTTTGGCAGGCCAGGCACTGGGTTGAATGAATATAATCCATAAAATACGTAATATAGCAACCTTATGTCCTCTGGTTGTTCAGATTGGATATGTAGGATATACTGATTGGGAATTCTAAATATTGCAATCCAAACACATCAGGAGTTCAAATAATGAAATCTTTTAAAAATTAAGTAATATGGAAGATCAAAACAGAATAGAGACTGCCTTTGGCCCACAAATGAAATAAATCAAAGGTGTCAACACAAGATATTAAGTATGTTATTGTGAGATTTTTTTTTCTAAGAAGATAAATGCAAGTGAGTAATATTGCTAAAGCTGTAATGAAGAGGGTTTCTAGTTACGGTATGTGCATGCTCATATTAGCAGTCCTGACAATTTCACTTACTTCCCTGGAAGATAAGAAAAAAAAAATCAGATTATCTGAAATGAATAGAGGCTATTTTTCAAACCAAACAAATCAAGTCATCTGTAATAAAATTGAATAGAATTATTGTAAATTTCTCCTAAATCCTTGTTCCTAGATGACCCTCTGTCTTGTATAAATTGTATTTCTTCCAGCAAAACTTGTGCTAGCAAGACTCAAGCTATCAACAATAGCTTTGCAGAGGAGATGTTCAGGCTTCAGGCAACCTACAGTCAGCTGATTACTAGTCACAGACAATTTTGCTGATATAATCAGAATAGTCAGAGCAAAACAAACTTGTACGTAAGGATTCTGCTGCCATTTTAAGATTCCACATTTTTTCTTTAAGAGGTTTCTCAAAATAAATGTTCCTCTTTGTTTCTTGGGAAGGAGAGATGGATAATTACTAAAGAACTGGACACAACATTGAGATTCACTTAGTCTACTTTCTTTAAAAAAACATGCACTCAAAGGCAGTGAACCTTGAACATGGAGTTGCTCAGAGAAAACAAATACTCTGATCTCAATTAGCCCCTCACATTCAAATAGTGATAGACTCAATGCAACAATAAACATGCTGCAAATATGCTCCTAATTGGAAAACCTATTATTAACCTATTAAATATATAGAATTGAGAGAATAAGCCACTATCTTTCCCCTTACATGTACTGCAGTACTGAGAAGACAAAGGTTATCATAGAATACATAAAAGGCATGGTACTGGTTGATAATTTCTCTTGTCATACTTTGTGCTGTTTTTCCAGCTATTATTCAGTATACAGTATTTTTTGAAACCACACTCACAAATCCTAGGACTCATCTAAGGCAAGATCATTACTATTTACTATTTCTTCTGTATGCATGGCTATAGCTGTTTGTTTCAGAAGGGTAAGTGGGAAATTTCTGTTGTTATGCTTGGCACTGCTTGTACTATACTGCATTATCTCCTGTTGATTTCAATTGTTTCAATAAGCTCATAATTTAAATCTTGTAAACAATTGTGTGTATGTGGTTGGAAAAATGGAAAAAAAATGTCCACATTAAAATCAGAAGTAACCACCAATGACTGAAAAATTGAAATATCTTACAGAAGTTATCATTTCAAGTGCAATAATAATCATCTATCAAGAACATTAACAAGATTTGAAGAACAATGTTTAATGTTATTTGAAATTAGAGGGATATCTTCAAAGGAGAATCAGGTAGTACAATAATATGGCTTTAAACTAAAAGAGCAACCTTGGCTCTTTTATGACTCGTGGATTTCAACTCTCAGAATTGCTGAGCCAGCATAGTTGAAGTTGAGTTGAAGTCCACGAGTCATAAAAGAGCCAAGGTTGCCTACCCCTGATTTACTAGGATGAGAAGATATGGCTTTTACTTTCAGTAGGTTGGTAGAATGATCTGGTTTAGGGGTCTCCAGCCTTGGCCACTTTAAGATTTGTGGACTTCAACTCCCAGTATTCCTCAGCTGGTAATTCTGGGAGTTGAAGTCTACAAGTCTTAAAGTTGACAAGGTTGAACACCCCTAATCTAGTCACTCTGTCATTCTCTCAGTTCAAGAGCATTGGAGGGAAAAATACAGTATGCAGAAAAAAGTGCCAAAGGAAGCCAATTTTTGCTCATGAAGCAAAAACAGGTTAACACACATACCCAAATAGCTTTTATATCTCTATCCTTTAAAAGAATATTAAGAAGAGGATTTGGGATTTCAACTTGATCAGGCAGCTTGGAATTCTGTATAAAACAGTTGATATAGCAAGCTGTGGTAACTAGGGACTCTTACAGATCCTCAAAGATTAATTACTGAGAAGTCAAGCCAATTTCGTGAGATGCAGAAAGCGTTGATCTCAGTTGTCAAAAGATACTAAGAAGAGCACTTTTCTAATTGTAAAAAATATAGGCAGCGATACTCTTTTATTCTAAATCATTATTTTGAGCGCTACACATATTATTAAACAGCTCTGTTACAGGTGTACATACTGTAGGGTCCAAATGTACATAAAATAGGAACAACATGAATCATTTGGAAATCTTCCATGGAATAAGATAGTTCTTCTAGATGTGGTTACATGATTATCCAGCAGTAGGGTCATATCGAAGGTTCTAAACAAGTCCAAACTGAATAGAAACAGTAAACCTTAGTTAAGTACTAGACTCTTGCTCTGGAATCTCTCTTTAAATTTTTATCAAGGTACCAGAATCATCTTGCTATATAAGCACAACAATCAATCCTTCATATTTTGAGGAAAAAAACAAATTGGGAGAGTTTTAAAGATATATGAGTTATTTGTGTTAGCTGGCTGAAGGTAAAATGAACTTTTAAATGTTTGGTTTGCAAAATATATGTGAAAAACAAAAAACAAGAAACAAATAATGAAAAACCATTTTAATTTGTACAGATTTAGGCCAGGCTGGCAATGCAAAATTCCCAACAGAGTCGACATACCATTTAGGGGAAAAAAACATATTTTTATTGTTTTGATCAAGTCTAAATGGAGAGATAAACCCATTACTCCAGAGGTCACAAGAGAGGACAATGTGGGAGTTCATTATTTAGCTGACTTGATGCTAGACACGAGGAGTGAACTTCCACATGCAAAGCTTGCCTGAGAAAAGATGGTACTCAATTCATTCAAAAAGATTCTTGTTTTTTCTTTAAAAATGTTCAACTTGATATTTTTATTTAAAGGAAAGATTTTTTTAAAAAAAAATATAGGGGAACAATGCCTTTCTTATTTTGATCATCAGATTGGACATTTCTTTCACTTTGCAGGTTCATATTTTTTCGGAGCATAATGCAAACGCAAATAGATGGGGCACTTTAGAGGGCCACTAGCTCAGTGGTGGGATTCAAATATGTGAACAACCAGTTCTCTGTGTGGATGCCGCTTCTGGAAGTCCATTCTGGGCCTGGGCAATAAAAAATTAGCTACCAGTTCTGCCGAACTGATGCGAACTGGATGAATCCCACCACTGCACTAGCTGCTTTTCTGGTGTTTCTGTACAAATGCAAGGTATTCTTGAACATCCTCGGGAGAACCGACAATGAAAGGGACTCTCTGATGAATAGACTCTGGCTTTACATCCAACACCGCTTCTGTGCCTGTAGTAGCTATTCCTCCAGCCTGTTCAATGATAAAAGCGATGGGGTTGCATTCGTACAAGAGCCGCAGCTAGAATAGAAGCGGAAAACCCATTATTCTCACTTTAATCTAATTTGTTGAAACTATTTAAGAAGCAGTTGAAGAATTCATACCTAATCACAACAGTTTTGCAACTTATAAACACTCATACATGTATCAACTGTCAGTTTTGAAGACCTGGCATTGCTGTTGTTGTTTTTTTAAATCGCAACACCAATAAATGCAGTGCAGTGCAAATTAATTTTCCAATTCCTTTCAATAGGAACACGAATTGTTTTTTCTATAGCAAAGAGTAAGCATGATCAGGAAGAACAATAGTTTTGTAACAGTCTTACATGCAGAAAGTCCAGATCTAACCCTACTATTCCCTGGTAATAAATTCTACCTAAGATTTTGGAGAGACAGGCAATCTGGATGTGCTTCCTGGCTCGTGGGAGGCTTGCGCGGCGACATTGGCAGCAGGCAGAGGCAGAGGTACGGGGGGGAGGCAGGCGATCCTGACGTGCTGCCCACTCCATCTCACTGTCTCTCGGCTTACCTGTGGCTGCGCTGGTATTGCTTGCCTCCCCCGTGCCTCTTCCTCTGCCTGCTGCTGGTGCCGCCCACAAGCCTCCCACAAGCTTCCTGTGAGCCAGGCGGTCACGCAGCATGTCCAGATTGCCTGCCTCCCCCCTGCCTCTGCCTTCGTGCTCGAACTTACCTGTGCTGCGCCAAGGGGCCGGCAGGCTGTGACTACTGCTGGACACCGTTGGCCCTTGCATGCTCGCCACTTCTTGTTCTAGCCACGCCCATCCCCCGGCTTATTTTTGGGATAGGGCTTATATTAAACCCGCCCTAAAAAATTAGGCTAGGGCTTATTTTGGGGGTGGGTCTTATTTCCAGGGAAACACGGTAGTTCAACCATTGTGTACTTGGATTTTTTTTCACTAGGTAGCTTTCAAAATGATCTGTAAACCTGCACAACACTAATTTATAGTTTAAAATGTTCCAGGACTAACTAAGAAAACTTAGCAATGAACATGTTAGAAAACAAATTATTTCTGCTGCTGTTTAAAATCAACTCTTACTCTCTCCAGAGAATTTGACATTATTATCACCTTCTACAGTAACTAAAAATGAGAAATCCTGAATTCATGAGGACCTTGTCAAGGTTTAGAAAATTGCAGCAGCAGATTCAAAGACTGATTGAAGCCATAAGCCAAATGCCATTATTTAAACAATGAAGTCATATAATTTTCATATTAGTCTCTACTGGTGGTGCTATGATTAATTTTCTAATAACTGTGCAAAGTAATCCTAAACACATTTACTCACATATATAGCATATTGTGATACATTGGGGGTTTCCCCAAATAATAAGTGTTGCTGGGAATTGGGCAACATATAAATATAATAAATAATAATATGCAATTTTTTCTTATATACCTATTCCTAATTTTTACTGCATTTATTGGATTCCTTGTGATTCCTTGTGTCAATTGATTCTCTAATTCTAAATCCTGATTTTCCAAGGAACAAAAACGCCCACCTTTTTCATTAAAAATGTACTTTCTTATAATAAGTCAATTTAAATTAAAAGCCTACCTTTCCTTTGGGACTTTTCTGGTTAGCTGGATATAAAAATATCCCACCATACACCAGGGTACGGTGAACATCAGCTACCATGGAGCCTACGTATCTGGCTCCATAAGGAGATATTCCTTCCTGTAAAGCAGAAATACAGATTATATCAGAATGGAGTTGTTCGTACTCATTACCTGCTAGTGCAAACCCGAACCTAATCTGAGGCATAATTCAGAGGGAAGAAAAACAATGAAATACCTAGTCTGTAATTCCAGTAATTCTGTATCCATGGAATTCTGGACATAGAAGTAAGTTCCATATTGTCGTGGAAAAACCCAATGGAAAAGACAAGAAACAGCAACACAAAACAATAATTCTTACTTTAAGATTCAGAGGTTTATTTTGCTAATGATTTGGAACATAGCAAGCATAATAACACAACATCACTTACATTAATAACCCATTGCAATGAGGACCATATGGCATAGCAGATTCCAAAAGGACAGCTATAGGCCAATGGCAAATCAATTAGGTTCAGTCCCAACCCTTTATACCCTTTCTCGTTCTAAGACTGTAGGCCAGGGGTGTCAAACTGCTGGCCCGTGGGCCGGTTTTATCATACCAGAGCCGCGCCCACCCCATTGCCTGCAATGGCGAAAAAGATCCAATAAATTGCGCGACATCACGTGACATCGCAAGTTTGACATGTCTGCTGTAGGCAGATGGTCTGCTGGCTTTTGCTGACTTCCTACTGACTTCCTGCTGACCTTCTGCTGAACATAACTTTCCACATATACCCATGTACATTGGAACCCGCATAGCTACTTTCAGTTCCCTATTTCTTACTGTTCTAGTCCTTATGTTCTAAATGTACACAGAACTTTGCAATTTCATATTGCACAAAGCTCAGCAGATTGCAAATAATATGTCCGTATTGTGAAACAATATAGAGTTAAAGCTTTGTTTTAAATCACTACTGTGGGGCCTATCTCAGGTTTGTTCCAGCTTCATCTTGTTATATGAGGAAGGGGCTATATTTTCATCTCCCACAATATCAATCCAATTTTTTGGCTGGCAGAAATCCAAATGTGGCAAAATATCATACCCTAATATCTCTGACCCAGTGCAATATTGTATCCCTGGCAAAACAGACTATCGTATTAAATGTTTTCAAGCCCTGAGAAAGAGTGCAGAGAAGAGCAACAAAGATGATCAGGGGACTGGAGGCTAAAACATATAAGGAACGGTTGCTGGAATTGGGTATGTCTAGTCTAATGAAGAAGGACAAGGGGGGACATGATGGCAGTGTTCCATTATTTCAGGGGTTGCCACAAAGAAGAAGTCAATTCCTTCTATAATATCAGCAAAGATCATTTTTATGTCTTGCAGTTTCTTTCAGCAATTGGAATAAAAGGGATATCTTTTTTCCCCCTAAAGGGATGGTTTGAAAATCAATTCAATAGACAGCTTTCGAAGTTATTCCTTGATTCAATTGTATTTCTTTAAAATAACGTGATAGCTTTGGCTTCAGATCAGTGGCTTAAGCTTAAGTATCCTTTTTCTTGAAACAATTTCACACAGAAAGGATGCAGCGAGCAACCCATGGGGCAATTTGCATGGGTGGGAGTTTCAAAAAGTACAAAATATCTAGGGCTGGCTCAGGAATTCTGGGAGATGTCCACAGGTTGTAAAGTTGCCATAATTGCCATAAAGTCTGATCTAGGGCAGGGGTTTGCAACCTTGACAACTTTAAGACTTGTGGACGTCAGCTCCCAGAATTCCTCAGCCAGCTATGCTGGCTGAGGAATTCTGGGAGCTGACGTCCACAAGTCTTAAAGTTGTCAAGGTTACAGACCCCAGATCTAGGGGAAGATTTCAGTTCTCCTTTCTTAAGAACTTAATAGCAATGTGTGTCCGATCATTACAGTTGACAGTGATGTAATAAGTACAGCTAAGTCGAAGACGATAGAGTAAATAAGATTGTAATCTCATTTCCTACCAATCTTTCTACAATCGTACTTACAACACAACAATGGCAAAAGCTACCTACATGCTTTTTATCCAATGCACAGTGAGTTTTGTGGAGAGAGAACACTGCAATTCTACTGGTTAATACCCTACAGAACAAGTACAGTGGTTTTAGTGGTTTTCTACATATAGATTACAAGGCTAAGGAACTCCTACTATGCCTCTTGTTTTCTACCCTAGATAGCTAATCACCTGATCAGAGAAGAAAAATACAGCATATTCTTACACAAAATCAGCCTTCTCTGACTTTTTTCAGCCTTCTCTCTATTCCACGCCTCAAAATTCTCATCAATGGCCATGGCTGACTTGGAATTTTGGGGTGTTGATTCTACAATCATAGGAGCAAAGGCTGAGAAAAAATGAACTAAGGGATGCCGGCCATGGAGAGATCATTTAAGTATCTATAAAAAAAAATTCCAATGAATCAAACCACAATCAATTGCAATACGCTGTTTAATCAACACTATGATTAGGATCACAGCAGTGGCTGTCTAAGATTTACAGATCTGTCTGTTCAATTTTGTAAAAAATAAAAAATATTGTACAGTTGTGTAAAAGAAAGTAAGTAAACCAGTCCCTCTCTGATTCTCTTTCCTCACTGTCCTGGTTTCAGTCAAATATATGTATTTGTGAAAATGTGAAATAATGTCGTCCTGAACTACAGTAAACTGAACAAAGTCACACCTGCTGGCTTCATGGAATTCCTGCCCATGAACTGCACTAAATGTACAGGTGATTATGAAACAGGTATAAACCAAGGTAAAGTCACCAAAATCCAGATACTATGTAATAGAGTGAAGTCATTTCCTGGTTTTTGTTTCTGATTCTTTTGTGATAAATTTCACAAACAAAATTCAAGTTTATAGGTCAAGTTCTGAATCAGACAAATGGGGCAACTAAAGCAACCGGAAAAAAAATACATTTTTCTGAAGAGTTCTTATTTGGCTGAAAAATGAATCATGAGGTGAGTTGCTGTTGCACTTGAGAGAAGCACACAAAAACCATCTGCTGCTGATTTAAACCATGTATATCTTTGTAAGATTAATTTTGCAATAGTGGTGAATATTTGTAGCTCGGGTGTAGGATGAGGGTGAAGGTTCGTTCTCCAAGCTTGTGGATTGGTTTCTGAACATTTCATTATTAGGCGAGATAATATCTTCACTGGAGTTTAGGAGATCCACTAAATGTGGCTGAAGATGTTACCTAGCCTGGTCATGAAACATTTGGGAACCAACACACAAGCTCGGAGAACAAACCTTTACCTTCAAGACTAATTTTATTTCAATCTATTAAAGTCACTTGGAAAAGTATGAAGGAAGGAAGGAAGGAAGGAAGGAAGGGAGGGAGGGAGGGAGGGAGGGAGGGAGGGAGGGAGAGAGGGAAGGATGGAGGAAACTTAAACCTTAAAAACACAATTACAGAAGTATGGTTCAGAATCCAAATTTACCATATTATACAGCATCCTATTCATGAATTTGGAATAGGAAATATCAAAGGATTGGTTCCCATGAAGGGTAAATAAAGCCATCTACATAATACTGTCTTTGTGTTCTTTCTCTAAAGCAGAACAACCTCATGCCCTAGGGCACACGTAGTCCTTACACTCCCTTTTTTTCTGTTTTTTTCTGGCCTTAGTAGGCTTTTCTAATTACCTGGCAAAAGTATTTTTGGTTATTTTGAAATGCGAAACAGGTACCTATTGTGGAAGCCATAAAATGAGATTAAATCCATTTATAAAACAAATGGTCTACTAAACTCAGGGGGAAAGGCAGACATCTATCATTCCTGGTTGGTGTGATCCAGTATGGAACCACTGTACCCCTCTTCCCCAAATAGTAATGTAGCCCCAACTGGGTTGTAGTGCTAGTGAGGGAAAGATTGCCTCTCTCCTCCCAGTTTTAAATTAATCAAAGTTATTGGTTACACTTGCTTTTGCTACAGTTTTCTGGATTCCGATACAGCAGGGTGTAGTAGTTAGAGCACTGGGCTGAGATTGAGAGATCATGAATCCTATCCTGCCTTAGGCACACATCTTGGAACAGTCACTTTCTCTCAGCCCTAGGAAGGAAGCCATGACAAATCACATCTTAAATTTTGCCAAGAAAGCTCCAGCAATTTGTCCAGGTAGTTGCCAGGAATTAAAACTGACTCAAAGATATGAGAAGAAAAAAAACCTAGTTTTAGCAAAGCATTATTTTCTTATCTTTTCTCATCTGTTTAATTCCTTGGGCTCGTTATTCCTTATTCCTGGCTCATTTTCTGTGCTTTCTACTGTATAAAAAAGTTTCTTACTCCCCCCCAAAAAAAGAATAGATGGATATGGATGTATTTAGTATGTTATAGGTGTTCGCACAAAATTGCTTCCATGAAAATGCCCGATCACAGCTGAAACACTGAGTATCTGTATCCTAGACCAGTGGTTCTCAACCTGTGGGTCGGGACCCCATTTGGGGTCGATCGACCATTTCATGGGGGTTGCCAAGCAAGCCTGTCTGCCATTTTTTTTGTCCGCCATTTTTTTCCCCTTTTCCAGCGGGTGCCTTACCTCCCTTGAGCTGGGCCAGCTGGTGGTCGGCCTGCTCCGTCTCTGCCGCTTGCCAGCTATGCCTCGGCCGGCGCAGGGGGCGGAACCACACATGCGCGGCGCTCCTGGGCAGGGAAAGTCCTTGACTTATGACCGATTGGGTAGTCCTCGACTTACGACCGTTTTAGTCCTCAACTTATGACCGGTTTAGTCCTCAACTTATGACCGGTTTAGTCCTCAACTTACGACCGGTTGGGGTCGCGGCATTAAAAAGGTTGAGAACCACTGTCCTAGACCATTCTAGTAAATTTATCCTTGTCAACCCTGAGCTCCCAAGATATTTCTACCACTTCAGACATACCCTCATTTTATTTTTGAAGAATGTCAGTGATACTATTTATGTAAGCTCAGAAACTTTCCCGGAAATAAATACGTAAGGTGATGCTTTGCATGATAGCAAGCTGGATTTCTTTTAAAAATGCTAACATATTTTGTAAAAAAAATAAAATAAAAATAGTTATGAGCTCAGTCTTTCAAGGAAATAAGTCCCATTGTCCTAAAAAAATGTGTCCATGTAAGACTGCAACTA